ACACACACACACACACACACACACACACACACACACACACACACACACACACACACACACACACACACACACACACACACACACACACACACACACACACACACACACACACACACACACATACACGTTTAAATCACACGTAGGTATCACACGAAGTCACGCTAAATAAATCGCTGATTTTCTTCGTCATTTTATTTCGTAGTTATGTATCTCGGTGCTTCTATCGTTCCCGCATGAGAGCCCTCGTTTGATTTAGACACCTATACACGTTTGCTGTGCTTCTCTTTTGTTCGCTTCGAGATATTTTGTTACCTCCCCCCACCTTCACCTTTCCTCTGTGATCTCCAAGTAACGATCGTTTGGTCACCCGCTCATTCTTTTGAAAAAAAATTCGTAAGAGCGAATTTTCGTTTCGTATCGCGAGTAAATTGGTCATCATTACAATTTACAATACATTTACAAAATACGCACACGTGCGAGTTGACGTTACCCGGGTTGCCGAAACGCGGGAAGGGACATGGCGGTATTACTGTACACTTATTACACGCGAATGCCGTGATCTGCCTTCCAGCCTCTCTCTCTCTGCACAACATATTGCTCGTTGAGAAATCCTTATCGTGCCCGCATATGCACTCGCGGAGTGGTCTCTCGGCATGCAGATTGCGCTGTTCGATATGTCGGGCATCTCGGCAGAACATCGTAAATAACAATAGACGCGATATGAGACGTGCTTCAAAGGAGGTGCAACTTAATCAACGAAGCTGTCATAAACAGGCCCGATAACGTCGTGTTATTAGACGTGAAAATGAAGATTATGTACGCCGCCGCAGCGCCGCTTGTTTTCTTCGTTAATAATAATGTTTAGCGGACGAAAGCAGGTCATGTGCACGCGCACGCAGACGCGCCGTATCCGCGCCTTATTGCTCAAACACGCACACGCGCGCGCACAGACGCGTCGTAACCGCGGCTTATTGCTTAAACGTCGGCCCACGGAGTGACCGTAATTAAATTCGCAGGCCACGGCAGAAGCGAGAATTTGATTAAGCAAAGTCTCGCTAGAATAATTAGGCAAAATAATTACGAGAGAGCAAAGCACGTTAGCCGGGTTCGAGGATAATTAGCTGTAGATGTAAATGTAGATAGTCTATTGAACACGGTAATAACCTTCCCATCGTTGATTGTTCATCCCGTTTGCTTATTTTTAGTGCGAGAGTGTTTGCGCGCGTTTCCGTGCGTGTGCGCGAGTGTGTGCGAACCTGTATTTACGCATGTGCGTGCGTGTGAGCTGTGTATTGTTGTGTGTTGTGTGTGTCGCAACAAGCTATGTGCGTGCGTGCGCGAGCGTGCGTGTGCGTGTGCGTGTGCGTGTGCGTGTGCGTGCGCGTGTGAGTGCGCGGACACGCGTGTGCGTGCGCGTACTTGTATGTGTGTGTGTGTGTGTGTGTGTGTGTGTGTGTGTGTGTGTGTGTGTGTGTGTGTGTGTGTGTGTGTGTGTGTGT